CAAACTTTGTATTGTGTGAATACATTTTCTAAAGTGCCTAATAATTTGCATCGAGATATATAGGATTCAACAGCTGGAAGAGAACAAAAACAAACAAAAAGCCTATTCTTTGTGAACCTGTTGCATCTCTACTAAACTGGATTTAGATAAATCATTTTGCTGTGTCAGGTGCATACTTCCGTGTTTACCGCTGCTATGTTACAAATACCTCTCTACTGGTAAACTAGCAGAGAAAAAAACCCAAAGTCCACGGTGATGACTCGGAGACGCACAAACAAGGAGCCATTATTTCCAGCTCCCTCAGCCCACACACACACAGAGAGAGAGAGAGAGAGAGAGAGAGAGAGAGAAACACGCACACAGGCGGCGGACTGAGACCACTGAAGTGGTGGTTTGCTCCTTGCCACCGCGGATAACCTGGCGCTGAAAAATGTTGAGGAAACCTCTGGTGAACATCTGTCTGCGGCTGAGCCGCCGCCACCGACATGACGGGATGTATAGAGGCGCGGCGGGGCTGAGTGCGGACGTCCACCGCCGACAAACATCCACCAGCAGCAGCGACACCGTGATGGGCGTCAGCAAGCTGAAAACCATGGATGACTTAGGCGGACCGAGCTTCGCCACTACGTTGTACTGGCTTTTTATTAAGGGATATTTTCAGACAACGCAGCAAATGCAGGCAAGTTGGAAATGCGACGCTGAAGTTGGTCTCCGATTCGACCCTTGAAGTGCGCTAAATAAGTCCGGACTTGTAGGCTACTAAAACAAAATCTAGAGGACTTTTGAAACCTTTATGGCTTTTATTCTACCTGCAAAAAAAAAATCAAAATATAGTTGGTTTTTTTTAGGACTTTTTTGCTTCTGATGAAGTTTGATATGTCAACGACAAACCGGTTTATTCTAATGAGATCATTTTAAGACAATTAGTGATTAAAAAAAACTTTATAACAGGCTTGAAAACTCAGGCTTTTCCTGGACAATGCAAGTTTCCGGCATTTCTGAAGTCATCATCTCTGCTTATTCCGATATTAGTCCCCTAAGGACAAATACAAATTACATCAGAGGATTATCCCGATTAGATGCACTTCAAAACAGTGATCTGAATCGTATTCAACTCTTTAAAAGTGTAAGGACCAAAAATAGTTGGAGTTCTGATGCATTTTATACAGAGAAAGAAAAAAAATTTGATCAACTGATGAGAAAACTGACTGATTGGTGCTAATTTTAAAACTTTTTTCTTTGTTTCTTCATCATCATAAATGGGGACTAGCTTTTCTACTACAATAGACAAGTGAAACGTGACTTTTGGAAACTGATCATGGGAACTGAAGGCTCCTTTGTATTTCATTGGAACTGCTCTGTGTAGCTCTTGTCAGAGGTCAAAGCAGAGCATGCCCAAATTAACTCTGTCAGATTTGATTTCAACACTTTTAAAGTGTCTATATGGGTCCACACCAGAAAGTGTTAATTTAACTCTTTTTGGAGAGTTGGTACCTTAACTCTTATAAAGTGTCAACTATCAAATCTGCTAGAGTTAATCATTTAACACTTACTAACACTAATTCAGTGTTAGATCTCAATATTAACTCTCACAGGGTACTTCTTTAACTTCTTAAGAGTTATTTGTAATTAATATTAAATAGATACTTTATTGTGTTGAACTTTTAAAAATTCTTTGGAAAATAAACATTTAATAAAGAGGCAATGATTTTCTCAAATGCATTTATTTCAAAACGTGCACCATAATTACAAAACATATAACAGAGTGGAATAATGTGCATGTTTCACATGTCGCTTTCATTCACATATTGCTTATCAAACGGTCTGACATATCAGCTGTGCAATACAAAATGCAGTATGCTTAATACATTTTTCTTCAATAATATATTCAAGAAATTGTTCAAAGTACAAGGTGGAGAAAGTAAAGCCTGTATCAATGCATGCAGTTCATGTAATATGATAGAGTACATTTCTTTTAACAGGTAGATTACTGGATATGACATAACAGACCAACCTGATATTCAGATCCATCATTTCTTATCCAGTTTCTGTTTCTGTTGATAAGAGACAGATCCTCTCTGCACTCCACCAGAGAGATGTCCATCACTAACAGATTGTCTTCAGGTTGTTGGGCTGTTCGTGACGTTTGGCCGGAGACACCAACATGCTCCTCTACTGCATCGGACAGTCTTCAGTCTCTGAG